AGATTAAAATAGCCACTACCTCGTCCTCGGCCACGACCACACCCTCGTCCACGTGTATTGTTTCGATGACCATCAGTATTTGTAGCATTTGCTTCAGGAAGTGCTACTGATCCTGTTGGACGATATTCATGGTTTTTCATCAAGAGCTCTTTGTTTTTCTCTACAACAAGCAGACATGCATTTAGTTCAGAATATCTTGTGAACTTTTTCATCGTATATTGTTGCATCAAGGTAATATTTGTTGCATGAAATGTGGAGTAAGTTTTCTCCAACATATCTTCATCAGTAACTTCATGTCCACAATACTTGAGTTGTGAACATATTCTGAACAAAGCTGAGTTGTATTCATTTACTTTCTTGAAGTCTTGAAACCTCATTGTTCTCCATTCATCTCTAGCATTTGGAAGTATAACTTCCTTTTGATGATCAAATCTTTCTTTCAAAAGATTCCAGAGAATACTTGGATCATTAACATCATGATATTCAAATCATAACATTTCATCAATATGCTTACAAAGGAAAACCTGTGCTTTTTCTTTGTCTTGTGCCAAACAATTATTAAATTCATTTATGGCATTTGAGATTCCCATAAACTCAAGATGCATTTTTACATCTATCATCCATGGCACGTAGTTTTTCCCACTAACTTCAAGTGCTGCAAACTCGAGCTTTGCAATGTTGGACATATTGTAACTATAAATTTTAAACAAAATAAAAACAAAACTTAAAATCCATTTATTTCAATAACTATTACACAAAAAAGAAGCGGTAAAGCTAACATTGCATACAAGCCTAAAAGTAGATGAAATTCCATATTATCTTCGATGTTAAGAATTGGGATGAAAAGTAACATGACTATTATAGTCATGATTATCACAAAGGGGTGAATCATCCTGAAGCTTGATTTCTTGAAATTGATTTGTTTGACAGAAGAGAGAAATATTTATTGTCGGTAAAATAAGCAGGGTAAAGATGTTTATTTATAGTAAAAAAATATAGTCGTTGTTTTTGCTGTTTATAACCGTTGCATATATATATATATATATATATATATATATATATATATATATATATATAGATATATATATATATATATATATATATATATATATATATATATATATATATATATATATATATATATATATATATATCTGTTGTGTATATTTATGAATCATTTAATAAGATTTATAACTAATACATAACTTTACTTGGTATAATTTTATTAATTAGAAACATAAATAAATATTAGTAAATGCTTAAATAAAATTATGAATAGTATCTAAAATATGAATAAACATTGACATGTATAAATAAACGTTAGTATATATAAATAAAAAATAGTTGCATAATTTAGATGTTAGTATGCATAAATAAAAGTTAGTTGCATAATGTAAATGTTAGTATGCATAAATAAAAGTTAGTTGCATAATGTAAATGTTAGTATGCATAAAAATTAGAATACATAAAGAAATGTTAGTATAATGAATAAAAATCGTTAGTAGTCCATAATGTATAATTTTTATTAATTCATTAGTATTATTATTATTTTAATATGATGAAGGTTTTTATAATTAATAATGTTTTTACTGAGTAATACATACATTGATTAAGATAGATGTGATTTCCACTTCTAAATAATCTTGGTTTGAGCTTTCGTGCTGATAACGTGTTATAAATTCAACGTGGTTAAGATAATTTAAAACAAACTAAACTAACAACATAGATAAAAAAATTTGATGGAGAAGGAGATTTAGAAAAGATATGAGATATTTTATATCTTGTGAAATTGTATCGTCATATCTTTGCAAGAGCATGTTATTTATATTATAAAAATTACCTATCATATGTCATGTAAATGGTATGATATGATAGCTTTCACCAATTCACCAATTATTGGTGTCATTCATAATAATTTACAACAATATATATATATATATATATATATATATATATATATATATATATATATATATATATATATATATATATATATATATATATAGGGTCCAGTGTCGGTGATGACTCAAAAAATGGTGAGTACGACGACGACTAACCATGACCAATCGAGCTCATTAAGGATATTTATGTCCAATAACAAAATAAATGGGCTGCTACTACTGGGCGGGCTATTTTAAATGAGAAAAATATTGGCCTAATATTATTCCGACGACGTCACGTAAACTTCTTTCTGCTTGTCACAGTCTTCTCTGATTCACGCAAATACAAAGAACACCGATGAAATCCAGATTCTTTCTACTAAAATCGTCATTATTGGATTAAATTCATATGATATCAGGTTAGATTCGGATCACAAACTTATATTTTACTATTAATGATGAATTTTTGTTTCGAAAAACGTAAAATTTGCTTCGATCATCAATAAACATAGAAAATAACTAAAGCATATTGAAATTTGCTTCGATCATCAGTAAAACTGAAAAAAAAATGTGCAATTACAATTCAAAGAACTCAAAATTAGGTTAGATTAGAACTCAAAAAGGATACTTTACTGTCAATTTTCATGCTCTGTATCAAATCATGTTAAATCAGTTACAATTTTAATGAAATCATTTTCGAAATTGACAGGTCTAACTCTAATTTATGTTAAAAACTTCGATTTAAATCTATATTCATCGTTATTCAAATACATTACGATTGAAAAAACATGATTTATAACATTTGTTCATATACATCTATGTTTTAGAATTAGGTTAAAAATCGAATTTTTATTCTTAAAAAAACTTTAAATCATCAAAATTAGTGTATGAAAAACATTTGTTTTCAATATTTTATAGATAAAATGTTGATTGACATCGAAATTGACTAATACTAGACGCTAATCAAAAATCAATAATGTGATATATTAGAAACAAGTTAATAGCATTTTCAATGTTAATATCTAGTACAAAAACATGTTATAATTGTTGATTTCATAACATAAATATCAATTATGGATCAACATTCAGTGAATACAGAATCTACAATGCATATTGATGATGTAGAAAGTGCAATCATGAAAACAACAGATTAATGATCAAGGTAAATTTATTATTAAAAATATTGTTTTTTTTTTGTAGATCATATATTATGATACAATGTTTTTTTAACTGAAAACAATGGTTCTATGACAGCAAATATTGGATCTTCTTCAAGAAATTTTGAATCTTCATCATCCTCTAAACTAAACGTGATCCAATTGTAAGTATAATTGATGGAAAAATTTATTGGACTCTAGATGTAGATATCAGACCTTATAAGGGACAAACTTTTCCAACATTTAAAGATGGTTTAGCATTTTATCAACAATATTCTAGGAAAAGTGGTTTTTAAACAAGAACAGCATCTACAAAGAAAATAAAAGGAGTACAAGGTTATGGAATAAGATACATAGTATGCAATAGGCAATGATCCAAAAAGAATGATGCATATGATATTCGAAACGATCCAAACAACAAAAAACGTAAACGACCTTCTATTAGAGTAAACCGTGAAGCATATGTGAGAATGAAGGTCAATAATGATAAAGTATGGCATATATATGAGCTTAAAGAAGAACACACACATATATTTGTACATGAAGAAGATAAAAGTTTTCTAAATTCTGAAAGAATACTCACTTTTTCACAAAAGAAAAATGATATATGATTTGTCAAATGTGAACACCGGACCAAGCACTACATATAAATACATGAAATAGTCTAGGGGTAGTTTTGAAAATAATGGAGCTACAGGAACAAATACAAAAAATTTCAAAAGGGATTGGATTGAATTTATTGGAGAAAGAGATGCAGATTTTGTGATAAACAAGTTGATGAATAAAAAATATTATTTGCAAGATTTTTCGGTTGACTTTAGTGTTTGAAGTGATCGAGAATTGACTGGATTGTTTTGGGCGGATGAAGAAGCAAAACGAAACTATATTTCCTGTGGAGATGTTCCTTTTGATGCAACTTACAGAACAAACAAGTAAGTGACTATATAATTTACTTATAGTTTTGAAATATTGTATTTACAAATATTAGAATAGTGAATCATTATTTTTAATTAGAGCAATTTTGTACCATTAATTTTTGAATCAATAGTAAAATAAGAATTATATTTTTAAATTTATATAAAAATATAATAAGAATCCTATTATTTTTTAATCTAAAATTTAAATTAAAAGATTCAAAAAGTAAGTGAATCTTTAATGTACTTATAATTTTGAATCATTTTCTACATTTTGAATATTAATAATTTTTTTATTAAATCACTTAATGATTATTATTAATTAGGCAAAATTTAAATCATTAGTATGTGAACCATTAATATGTTTTTGAATCATTGTATTTAAAATCATTAATTTGATGAATTTTAATCTGTCAACAATAATAATTATATTTGAATCAATAAGAATATGAGTTGCATAATTTAATAATATTAAAATGTTAAATACATATATTTGCATCATTACTAAATTTTTTTCTTTGTTTTACAGATATAGGATGATTTTTGTACCATTTACTAGTATAGATAATCATAAACGATGCATAACTTTTGGAGTCGGGTTACTTTCAAGTGAAAGCATCGAATCTTATTCATGGCTATTACATGCTTTCACAAAAGCATTTGTCAAAGAGCAAAATGTAATTGTAACAGATCAAGACGCTGCAATTTTACAAGCAATACCGGTGGTATTCAAGAGTGCAACACATACATTGTATATGTGGCACATATCTCAAAAATTTACAGACAAGGTTAGTATAATATCATAAAATGTCTTTCTATTTAGTATATATGTTTTTATATATATATATATATATATATATATATATATATATATATATATATATATATATATATATATGCAGTTGGGAAGTCATATGCCCAAGACAGATGTTTTGAAAAAGTTGAGTGATCTCATTTGGAATGAAACAATATTCAAAGAAAATTTTGAATCAACATCGAAAAACATAATGGACGAGTTTCACTTAAATGAAAACAATTGGTTTAACGAGATGTACAAAATGAGAGATCTCTGTATTCCCGCTTATTTCAAAGAATGCTCCTCCTCTGGATTGATGAGGACTACATCAAGATCTGTAGCTGAAAATTATCTTTACGAGCTACTCTCTAACTCAGATTCGCATTTGATTGAATTTTCAACTCATTTTAAGACTGCATTAGAAGGACAAAGATGCGTTCAAAGAAAAAATGATCATGACTCAAGATACACAAAACCGGATTTTAAAATTGGATTAAAGCTTGAAGTTGAAGCAACTGAATTCTTCACAAGAAATGTTTTCTTTGATATTCAATCAGAGATTCTTGCATCAATGGTTAGTTGCATGTCAATAAGATGAGAAGAATCATAAGTGTTCAAAAGATTTATTATAAAAGTTACAGAAAAACATCCAAAACATCATGGATAATTTGAGGTACATTATAAATTACAATTATATTACTCTTATTAAAATAACTTATGTTAACTATTTACTAATTTTTTACAGGTTAAACTTTTTAAATCGGATCAAAAACTTCTTTGTTCTTGCTTCAGATTTCAATTGACGGCAATTTTATGCAGACATTGTTTCTATGTTTTATGAATGGAAGGTGTGGAAATTTATCCAAAAGCATATTTGACAATGAGATGGGAAAAAAGATGTGGTACCACGATAAACACATACTTATAATATAACAAATGTCCATACAAGCGAAAAAAAATCCAATCTGTTATACGGGAATTAGAATTTGCAATGGAGTTCTGCATCGATAGACTGGTGAATGATGTTCTAAATGGTGAGTTCTTTTTGATTCTTTCTATATTTATATTTTTGATGCAAAAAATTTGATCCGAAAATATAATTTATGAGGGTAGTCGACACTTTGGAGAAATACTTAAGCGAACGTTTTGTTGGAGTTTCTTCACAAGGCAATTCCATTCCATTTTCCCCTTCACAACGAAATTGAGAGCAATTCTGTAATTTTTGTTTTCAAGTTTCTTATTTGATGCAAAAATTTTGATGTGAAAATATACTTTATAATTTTTTTAATCAAATTTGTAATTGGATAAACAAAATAAACAATTCTGGTTCAATAATTTATGCATCAATGCTTTTAATAAATGCTTTTAATAAAAATGTTTGATAATTTAATTAAAATTATGTTCTATTGGTAAGTTCTTTTTGATTATTTATAAATATATATATATTTTTGATGTAAAACATTTGATCCAAAAAAATTAATTAGTACACTTAAGATAAAATTTATTAAAGATTAAAAAATATTGGTGGAATTTTTTATAGAATGTAATTTTTTATACATGAAACTTTTTATATAATATACGTAATTCAATTTATAAAATCAAATAAAAGTTTGGAATAATAAAATTTCATCATTAAACTATGAATAAAATATGGTTCAAAAAAATATATAATTTTAAATTAACGATTCATTAAAAACCCATTGGGCCACAAACTAAACTTAGATACCCTGTCACTTTTAAACTTGGACAAGGTATAAAAACCTATTGGGTCACATAGTAAAATACATAACATTTATCTATTTTAATTTTCTTTAACTAAGAAAACATTTGTCTTTTTTGTGAATAATTTTAATGAAAAACATTATAAACAATCATTTGTATCATAATATAAGTAGATCATAGTTTACCATATAATTGGTGATCCTCCAAAAAAAAAAAAACATACATATAACTTCTAAACACAAAAACAAACAAGGATATTTAATTTTCCTTAGAAAATTACATTATAAACCACCATTAGTATCATAGAATAAGTGGATCATAGTTTACCATATATTGGTGATCATCCAAAAAAAAGGAAAAAAAAAACATACATAAGAATTCTAAACACAAAAGAAACAAGGATACTTATATAGTCTTCCTTAGCGAATCACAAATAACTAAAATAGTTTGAAAACGAGAAACAACCAATGATCAAAGAACACCAAATGATTGAACTCTCACTTCAACTTCATGCAAATGACCTTTAGTGGAAATCTTCTTACTCTTGTAGATTGTCAGTTTATCATAATCTTACCAACATATTTATTCCTTATGTCCACCAATTGCATCTTTTCACTGGTACACTCAGGAAATATATCAATATCAATCTTCTCCACTCCACCACCACGATATACTTGCATGTGTCTTATGAGAAATAACCTATAGTCAACATCATTGGTTTTTATCTGCCACTCCATCTCAAATCTTTCCATCTTTATTATTTTGAATGAATTGACTCGAGGATGACCCGTAATCGTCAAATACAGTTTAAACATTGTTTTCTACATAAAAATTTTATTTTATTAGTTTAAAAAACAGAACTAAAAAAGTAAATATTTGATAAAAAAATAATTACCAAATTAGCAAGAAAAACCCGATATTATAAGTGATCCCTCCTTTAGTCATGTCATTATCAATCATTCCCATCTTTCCATTGACTAAATCAAAAACAACCAAAAAGTAACGTTCTTTCCTGAGAATAGGAAAGAATACCCGTTGAAAAAATAAAATATTAAAAAGTAATATATATATATATATATATATATATATATATATATATATATATATATATATAAATTAATCAACAAAATAGAAATATAAATAATTAAAATACCAAGTTAACACATAAATTTTTAACATGGGAAAACTTTTCCACATGACTTTGAATTCTATCGACAAGTCATGCATTAATACTATCGGTGTTCTTGAAAACAATATTTGACTAAAAAAATGAAAAGAGTTAGAAAATATAAAATATAAATTAAAAATAAAACATAATAATATGGATCATACTATAAGTGAATAAGGAATGGAAAACCTTAAAGGTGTAGTGTGATCTTTATATTTGTCAAGATCATTCAGAAAAGCAGACCATAAATCAATTACATCTTTGCAAGGTTGTAAAAATCGTTCGACGGTAGCTCGACGGTAGACTGATGTTAAAGGATTAATTGGTTTTGGCGTGGATTAATCGGGGACCGTAGATTATTAATAAAGTATTAAAATTAATCAAATATTAATATATATTAAGAAAAACAAGTACTTCAAAATTAGAAAATAAGAAATTTTGTAATTTGAAAATTTGAAAATTTGAAAACTTTGGAGTAAAAACAAAAGTTGATTTTAAATTTTTTTTTTTAAGTTTTTATTTTTTTATTTTTTTTTTTACTTTTTTTGACTTTTTTGACTTTTGTTGACCGATTAATCCCGCCAAGACCGGTTAATCCCGCCAAACCCGATTAATCCTAAATTTCCGATTAATACCCTAATCCTTGACGGTTGGAGAACGCGAAACGATTAATCCACGATTAATCGCCGATTAATCCCGATTTATGCATCCTTGCATATTTGTGAATGCTAACCCTAGTATGAGAGACTCCATCACATATCTTATACCAAAAAATCCATTGGCAGATTCATAAACCTTTTCCCAAAAAAAAATTAACATTCTAAAAAATGTATACTAGTTTTTTTTAAAAAAACATCAATAAGGAAATACTTGGGATTACGAATAGCCAAAAACAGAGAACCCGCAACCCTTACTTCCAAGCATGAAATGCACTCAGTTGAATCTACTTCTTTTTTATAATAAGGTGAACACAGTGCTAGAGAAGGTTGTAAATCTCTTTTTGCTCTACTTGGCTTAGCATTGATGTTATAAGACTGTATTGGTATTAGAGAAAAAATGATCAATTCCTTAATCTTATCAGCAGAACTATTAAGATGAATTAAATCATCTGGAGTTTTAAAACCTTTATCTAAACAATGTCTGAATCCAACAAATTCCCCTTAGTCAAGTTTTCAAGTACCCCTACATTTTTGAATCCAATAACTTGACCTAATTTGCTTGTAAAAAGATTCACCAATAACCAAGGCAAGATCTGAAAAAACAGGAGAAGACTTTCTTGAAGGGTTTGAAATAATAGCATCAAGATCATGAAACTAATTTGAAACAATTGGATGGCTCAACATTTTATTTTGCTAAATACTATCATCTTCCAAAGCTTCATTTGTTTTCATTAACACCTCCAACTACTCCTGAACAATAGGATGATTAAAAAATTATGTCATTAACAGTTGATCAAGTTGAACATCTCTTAGTTCCTCAGAAACATGAACATCTTCATTTGGGGTTTCAACATTTGACAACTCCTTAGAAACTTCAACATGTTGATTTACTTCTGGACCAGAAAATAACACAAGATTTTGATGAAATTGTTTAAATTCAACATTACGTCTTGCATCATACTTCAAAATATCTTGGTTGCATGGGAATTGATTCCAAGCACGATTGATCCAATCATCAATAGTAGGCTTCAAACAACTATAACTTTTAAACAAAAAATCTATCTTCTCCTTAAAATCCTGAAAATAACAATAAATTCAAAAAATGATTAAAAAAAATGATACAAAAAGAATATGATTCAAAACAATGATGCAAAAACATATATACCTCTAAAGACTTTGAACCAATAAGAATAATATCAAATCGAGGAACAGAAGGACCGATATCCATCCAATCTTCATTGACAGTATCAAATCAATCAAAATAAGTTAAATTAAAATTAAAAATTAGATATTAAAAAATTATTAAAAAAATACAACTTACCATCATCTCTTGTTTCATTATCATTTATGTTATCTTGAACAAATTTCTTTCCTTTATCAACATACTCCACAAAAATAGGAACTATTTCAGAATAAAAAAGTTAATAAGCATAAAAATCAACTTTCAAAAAAATATAAAAAAAACTTACCATCATTTCTCACTTGCTCCTCATTTATGTTCTCCTCAACAAATTTTTCTCCTTTGTCAGCATGATCTAAAAGATTAACAATTGTTTTAAATTATAAAGGTCAATAAAAATAAAAATCAATTTAAAAAAAAACGAAAAGAAAAAAACTTACCATCATCTCTAACTTCATTCTCAATTGCTTTCTCTTGAACAATATTATTTCTTTTAACATAATGATCCAAAATAATAGAAAATGTTATAAATTATAAAGGTAAATGAACATGAAAATTAATTACAAAAATAAAAATTTATCTTCAACTTGTTCAACTTCACCTTTTGTTTTAAAATTTTATTCTTTTTTTCAAAGGAATATTCTTTTTAATATTTTTCTTATCCATTTTTTCCGCATAATAATAGAAAGAGATATGTTTTCTTCATTCTCTTTCATCTTCTTCTTTTGCATTTTGCTTCTCATAACATAAGCAAGAGTAATGTGTTCTTCATCTAAAAATTAAATTATTAAAAAAACAATTAAATAAGATTATAAAAAATTAAATATTTCACAAAAAAAGGAAAAAAAAAGATAAACCTGTTTCTGTTTCTGTTTCTGAATCTTGAGCTTTTGCGTCATCAACAAATTCTTCATATTTTTTTATGACTTCAACATTTTCATAACCTTCATTACTAAAATCTTCTTTCAATTTATCTTTAACATTTGTTGGAGAGCATTAAGACGAGACATGATATATCATATCCAATGATTATGAAGATGTATTTGTGCAAGGAAGATACAAGAACTCCATAACATGAATATATATATATATATATATATATATATATATATATATATATATATATATATATATATATATATATATATATAATAACTAATTTTAAAAAAATAATTGGAAAAAGCATAAAATTTAAACTTACCACTAGAAATGCAACACGTCTTTAATGCAACAAGTCTTGCATTTGAGTTAGATTTTAACAACTTTTTGCTCTGATTTAAACAATCAATCAGAAAGTCACACCAATCAAGGTCTTTAATGGACACTTCTTCTTAAAAAAATTTCCAAATTGGTTGCATGTACCCATACTTGGACCATTAAACATGATAGTGAAATATGCAACCAAAAAGTTCAATCTAAACATAAAACCTGAATCAGTACTTTTTTCTAAAAATTTTGTGGGATTAAAAAGTCTAATCCTAGTCATAGAAAACTGATTCCTCCAGTTTCTAATAACAAGAATCGTAGAACGACTTTTCTTAGGTAAATTCATAGGAATATCACCCATTGGAAGACCATACATGTGATGAACACCTCTCCTACTAATATGAATATCCTTGTTCTTGATACGAATAACATTTCTCTTTTCATCATATCTCTCAAGAACCCATGAACAAATTTCCCTACTAAACTTTTTAACCATAAATTCTTCAAGAAATCCAAACCATATTTCCTTAACTGCAGCTTAATGATTATCATTAAGGCTTCTATAGATAGTATAGATTAAACCTGATGGATTCCTATATGTAATTTCAGCCTTCTTAACATTTACATGACCAACAACAGGAGAAAAAACAAAATCGTCATCATCATTGATACTTGTAACGACTTTGGCAGCTGTAACACCCTATTCTAAATCGTTTCCTTGCTAGCTTGGGGATGTGGCCCAAATATCGATTATCATAAGGCTTAGGTACTGTATAAAAGAAGGATTTAGACCCGTTTGGGTGCGGGTAATGTAATCTGGATGATCCGGGAGTTCGGTTTGTGTTTTGAAGCCAAGGGGGGATATCGGTAAAGTGTCAGTTCGGGCTTTTTATAAATTTTGGATTTTAGATCGGGAAGTTTTAAGGCAAGGATGAATTGATAGAAATGTGGAATTCTTTTTACCTTTCCGTGGATATAAGGATCGTCGAAATAGGACTCAGAACGAAGAAGTTATGGCCTCTGGAAGTTGGTGAATTAAAAGGCTAAGTCTTGTACGCAGGGAGTACAAGAGAGTACGTTGAACGTACTAGGCTGAGAGGATCTTAGACCATCATTGAGTATGCAGGGCATACTGGGAGTACGAGGGGCGTACTCCATCCAGATGAAAACCCTAATTTTTAGGGTTTACTCCCTATTAAGCACCATTATATCATATTTTGGACATTTTAGGTCAGCCTCCATACCCCATTACCATGAAATCGAAACCCTAGAGTGATTTGGTGTGTTTTGAGCTTGTAAGAGTGTTTGTTGATGGTTTGTGGAGAAGAAGAAGAAGAGGAGCACTTGAGGGGATAGCTTGAGCTTGTAGATCCAGGGTCTTCTACTCATTTGCAAGCATTTTGAGGTAAAAAGCTATTACCTTGTTGACTTTGGTGTTAGATCTAGTTATGGTGTATTTTATGAACTTTTAGATACTTTTGAGGTGAGCTTTTAGTCCCCATGTTCATAAAAATGTCAACTTTATGGAAGATGTTGGCCCATGAAAGCATTAAGACCTTTATTAAGCTCTCTTTGAACCTTTGAGTCCCTTTAAGCCCTGCATGAGTGTAAAGTTGCCAACTTTAACCGGATGAGTGCTTAAAGGAGTGCTTTTGGGATCTGGGAGTATTCTAGGCGTACTGGCCCCGGAGGGAGTACGCTCAGCGTACAAGCTGAGTAAGCCCAACATACTCAGCAGATGGGCTTTTGGGCTTGGTGATTCTCGGTATTGAGCCATGCTTTTACTTTTGAAGATTGGGCATTGTTGGGCCATTAGACTTCTGATTTTGGGCTTTTTTTTAGTATTTTGGACTCCTTTAGTCTTAAGCCCATGATGGGTTGGGGTCCAATTTTGAAGATTGGGTCATATTGGACTTTTGTGGTTATTGGTTTGGACTTCGGATTTTTAGGCCAAGTGAGGAAAAGGGTATAATGGACTTTTTCCTGAGTACTGGGCAATCGGACAAGGTTTCCAACTATGGGTTGAGAACCAATTATTTATTTGGAATTATTTTGATGATGTCAGCACAGGGATTTTCTGGATCGGCATCCCGAGTTGTTATCGGTGATTTTAGCAGCCTGAGGTGAGTTTCCGGATCGGGAGTCCGAGCAGGTATCAGAGCCTTACTTTGAGGGATTTGGGTATACTCTCGGGTGTGTATGAACTCAAACTGAGGGTCTGGTGAAATTTTTGTAAAATAAAAGTTTTATTAAAAGATTCTCTAATAAAAGAGAGGGGTGTGGTGTGTGTGATCAGGCGAGCTCAAGTAAGTGATTCCCAGAATACCCAAACATGTTTATTATGATATATGTTATGAAAATTACATGATAGATTAGGGATATGGATCTACTCAGGATTTCAATCTAGGAGAGATGCCTTTATATGCCTGATTGTTTGAGCTCTTAGAATTGCATGCTAGTATGGTTTTCAGATAATTGGATAGAATGGCTTGATTAGTTGGTACACTGGTTAGATTTTCCGTTGCTCAAATTTTGCTTGCTTTTTGCTCTGTGTGACTCTTAGTGTTGTGGGTTAACTATCGGGTGAATATATCAATTCACATGCTTCATAGGTTAAATAATCTGCGAGTGATGGATTTGACCCTATTGCGCAACTCTTGTCTGAGTCTAACCATTGTAGGGATGAGTATTTTACTCGAAGTATTATCTAAGATTTGTTTCATGTGACTGTATTCATGCGGTAGTTAATTGACACTATTGGGAGTTCTTCAGCAGCTGATGGCAAGGTGAGTTTGGGAACCTAGGAGAGCCTAGGGTGTGCTGCAGTGGTTTGTTTGTGCTGCTTAGCGAGTGTCTGGGGTATTAGTTTGAGAAGATGACTTCGAGGATTCGGTATGATTCTTGAGGAAAGTATGGATAGGTGTGGAAGGTAGTATTGGGCCCGTACTACTGAAAGCACATGATCCATACTCGAATTGAGGAGAGTCTTGGAGAATCTAGGAAACATGTGGGATGTGTATTCTTGGGTATTTTCTGATTATTGGTATGATTGTTTTGTCTCGATGTGGCGATGGGCACACTAGGAGGAGGTTCTGGTTCTGGTTCAGGCTCAGGTGCAGGTACTTGGCCGATCGATGAGCGGATGTGGGGGTTTATCTAGTCAGATATTACCCGTGGTATTTTGGAGAAGACTCCTGTGATCTTTGGTACGGTCAAGGAGGGGATTTTGGAGATTGTGGATGACCGTCTGGGCACATTCCGTACTGAGGTTAAGGCTATTGTTGGAGCTCGCACTATTTCTTTCCGTGAGATCTGTGCTGAGGGAGCTCTTGAGTTCTTTGGGGAGAAGGACACCATTTCCAGTAGGAGATGGTTAGCGGATACGGCTAACGCTTTCCGGATGAGTTTCTGCACTGAGGGGTCGAAGGTCAGATTTTCTTCCTATCTTCTGAAAGACAGAGCTCGAGATTGGCGGGAGGAGGTAGACTTTGCCTTAGGAGGCGAAGCCCTGTAGACGATGACTTGGGATGAGTTGTGACCCGGATAAGGGCCGAGTTTTCCCCAGCCTTTGAGGTGCAGCAGTTGGTGAGGGAGTTTTAGGACCTTCACTAGATGACTGAGAATGTGGAAACGATCAATGCCAAGTTCTGCAGACAATGAGATGAAGAAGGTAAGGTATCATGACATGTTGAGAGATGACATCAGGGAGTTTATGAGTCTATCAGGGTGCAAGGCACTGAACGATATGATTGTTAGAGCCCGAGAGCATGAGAATGATATGGAGGAACTCAGGAAGAGGAAGCCAGAGCAGACTCATATTTTTGTGGTCCAGGTGAAGAGGCCCAAGACACGGGATTCACGTTCAAGAGGACAACAGGGCCGGGGCCCTTGTGCCAAGTGTAGGAGGACCCATGAGGGAGGATGTCGGGAGACAGGCCGAGGATGTTTCAGTTATGGTCATATGGGTCTTTTTAGTAGGGATTGACCTCGTGGATTGTTTCCAATGTGATTTCACTGCAACCAGGTGGGCCATAAGAAGGCCAATTGTTCGATATTGAGGGGTGGAGAAGTGAGTGTACATACTCCAGTTACTTTAAGGATCAATCACGGTCGTGAGGGTAGGGAAGGAGCCCCAGAAGCGAGGAGCCGAGCATTGCAGTGTCAGTCAGGGGTGTATAGGGTTTCATCAGAAGCTATTGTGGGTATTTTATCTTTTGCTTTCTTCTCGATTATTATCAGTATTTTTATTGCCTTGGAATATTGTTTTGGTATGAGTAAGCATTATATTTGGTTTAGTTCTCTGTTATTTCCTGGGTTTTATTATCAATAATAGTTATATGCCATTTTTGCATGCCAAGAGTTATTAGTGGGTCGTATCTTGCTGAGCGGGACTCAGTCTGTTCGGTTGTTTTTCTGGTTCTTTAGTGGGGTCAATTCAGGGCTATCATTTGGAAGGTCTATGGTCGGATTTGTTGGATTAGGTGTCTAAGCCCATAACTATTTTGGTATGTACTTGACCCGATTATGAGTATAGTCCTTTTGGGTTGCCTTCACCATAGCAACTGACATGATGAATTAAGGAGAAAGAGGATTAATTATGATTTATTAATATATTATAAGAATAATATATTAAAAGGAAAATCATATTTTTTAATTAATATTAGTCAAGAAATAATTAAGAATTAATTTTGTGGCTAAAAGAGACTAATAAAATAAAGGGGACTGATGTTGTAATTATAAGATAGTTACAAAGTTGGGCTTAGGATCCATAAAGGAAGCATGGACGAATTCTATATGGGGATCCATATTGAAATCGTCCAAGGGCCTTCTGGAAGGGTCTTTGGGCTGTTTAAGGACTAAGCAACTGGATTAGGGTTTCCTAGTTCAAAACCCTAGAAGCCTAACTATAAAAGGAACCCCTTATGCCTCCAAAAACGTCCCTAACCTTCTAAGAGAAACCCTAGGACGTTTTTTGGTGCCTCCTCCCTCTCTCCTTGTTCATATTGTTGCTTATGGTGTTTGTGACTCCATTAGAGGTGCAACACTTGAGGCACTAAGCTTTCAGAAAGCCAAGATCAAGAAGGATTGTGACTGTTATTGCTACATAACAATCAAAGTAATGTTTCTAACCCTAATCTTATGTCAATTTCAATAATAGCATGTTAGATCTAGCGTTTATGCTTTGGTATTCAATGTTGTTGTGTTCATAGTAGAAAACCTAGATAAAAGTAATTAGGGTTGCATGTACACCAAATGAATGATGTAATGCTCATAACCCATCAGTGGTATCAGAGCCTAGGTCATTTTTCTAGTGAATAGATGCAAAAGTGAACTGCCAAAGGATCAAAAAGTCGAATTTTTGCTGTCTGCGACGCTGACTCGGCGATTCCGTCAGTGGACTCCGCGAGTAGCCTGAAGTCGGCGAGTCCATCAGTGGACTCGGTGAGTCCAGGGTGCTGTTGACGGGATTTTCGATTTTTTGAGCAGATTTTGTTA